GAAGTGCTGTGCAGGGTGATCGCTCTCATGCATTTGGGAGACACTTGTCTGAAAAGGGGGTTGATTTGTGAATATATTTAGGGGAAAATAAAGGGTGTGTCTCTTAGTGCCAGCTGCTTTCCTGGGTGGCTCGAGAGGGCTGGCAGCAGTGGTGTGCTATACTGCAGATTTTGATACTGATCAGATAACAAATAAATGGCGCCGGTGTTGCTGATACCATTACCGATGATTTTTACTCATAAAGACAGCTTATGTACAGGAGAGCAGTGCGCCATGATTTATGAGATGAGGTTTATTTTTTAAAACAAAAGACAAATGTGCAAATTCTGAGCCTACATGTTGCTGCTCAGTACCGCTGAGTCATGTGACTGCACCACAACTAAAAAAAGCAGAGCAGGGAGGAGAGGGCAGCGCAAAGTGTGCCAGCAGGAGAGGAGCGGTGTTTGCACAGACATGTCTCCTTCTGAAATTAGAGGAGACAAATAAGCTAAAGCATCGATCCTGTTGTGATGATATTGATCTAATACCAATACCGGTGTTGGTATCGATACTATCGACATTTGGATCAATCTGTCCAACCCCTAACTTGCAGGTGGTTCAGGCATCCCAGAAACATCATCACACCAAACCCTAACCCCATAACCCTAACCACAACCACATGCAAACCCCCAACCCTAACCCCGACCCGTTTTTGTTTGTTTTTTCCACATTGGAAATCTATGACATCATAACAACATGACTGGTGACTTGCACTGCTGAACCTGGACCAACATTAATTGTAATGACACAGGGACGACACCAACACCGGGATGCATCAGATACACTCGAGATTCAGACCTCTGTGCAATCTGACTGTTACATGCTGGAATATGTGAAACACAATTAGAGCATGCCTGTATCTGCTGCTTGTTAAATAACTAATGTGTTGTGTAAGAGTTTTGCAAAAAAGGTAGCAGACTCTTGACCAGCGGCCAGATTTGTTTGGTTTTTGTTGATGGGGGGGTTTGACTGAGCGCCAGGCCCTTTTGTGCTGCAGCCGCCCCAGCTGGACTGCGGGCTGTGTGGACAAAAAAACAATGAGGTAAATAACACGGGAACTGTGCAGCAGGGTACACGGCCCTGCCTCTTCCTGTCTCCGGTGCCGCACACCACCGCCTTCCTCTCTTTGTTGCACCCGGTTGACCATGCCAATACGTCCGTCAGCATCAACTTAGCAGGCATCGAACGCACCCGAGTCCCTGCCTTCTTCCTGGTCTCCTTCCATTTAGTTGCATTCTTTATTGACGTGACAAAATTCACACATTTCTACAGTATGTGGCTGGAATCTTCATCTGTCATTTAAATAAAGAAAACAAAAAAACAACTAACTAATCTTGCAGGATTTCTTGTTGGTGTGAGACAACACAACACACCCTCTTCAAACTGACAAATCTGAGGTCAATCCACTTTGCAGGAAGAGAAACAAAGCTTCCTCTGGATATCTGATCGAGAGGGATAAAGGGCGATAACAGGTTTTCATGCAAGCAGGTGATCGGCGTAGTGTCATACATTGAGTCATACGTTTCCGCCCTGAGCTCAGGCGAGAAACACAAGCCTAAATAAATCTCACCTCTGCAGCACTTGGAAAAGGAAGAGCACACCACAGGCTGGACATGAAAAGAAGCCTGTCTTAGACCAGCACACAAAAGCCTGGCTCATGCAGACAGGAGGCAGGCGGCTGCTGGGAGCTAAGCAGCAGAGGCAGCAGCAGCAGCAGACAGGCAGACATACAGACAGACAGGCGGCATGCCCACCCAGACTGTGTCTGATGAAAAGCTCTGTTCTGGTGAAGAGCACGCTGCACAAGAAACAAAAGCTTTTCAGGGAATGAAACAATGCCCTCCGGTATCTGTTTGTGACTTGAGAGAAAACGTGCAACTTTAACCAAAAGCCAGACACACTCTATGCTCTGCTCTTTAGTTGCCCTTTCCTTTCCCGCTGGCTGCCTCGCCCTTTTCAATTAGTGTCATCCAATTTGAGATTTGTTCGCTCCAACTGGGACAGGCTGACGTGACGGGCAGGTGGGCATTTGGGATCTGGCTGGTGGAAATGTGACTTTGAGGACAAAAGAATGTGCAAGACCTTCCGGCAAAAACAAAAGAAATGTAATTTCAATTTGGAAACGCCTTGTGGGAGATGAACCTGTTAAGGAGAAACATGAAAAATATTCCAGATATTACAATCAACAGGTCTGAAATGCACTGAAGGTTTTTGAATTCTTGATGCAACAGTAGCACCGAGGGCAGACAATGCAGGCAACTTGATGCATGGGGTGCAGCAGTAATGTGTGTGTGTGTGTGTGTATGTGTGTGTGTGTGTGTGTATGTGTGTATGTGTGTGTGTGTGAGAGAGAGAGAGAGAGCGAGAGCGAGAGCGTGCATGAGTGTGTGTGTTCAGTCGAGCATGGAGAATGGAAGAAAAGGGTCTGAGGGGCCTAGAGGGAGGGCAACAGACAGCCAGGAGAAACTCGGACAAGAGAGTAGGGTGACTTGCAAGAGGTGACATCATCCTTTATTTGAATAATCCCCCAGCCTGGGAGGTGATTGGCTCCTCTTAGAGAAAGCAGAGCTCCTCTGCTGCTATTCACCCTTTTCAATTTCAGTATGGCGCGCTGTCCTGGTGAATGCTGCCTTCAAGGACTCATAGCGAGCTCCTGTTTCTGAGGACGAAAAGAAAAACGTACTGGGAGTGTAAGTTCCTCTTTTCCCTCAGTGAACATGTGGTGTCGGGATGTGCTAGATGTTGCCATGCAACACAGAAAGACCCAGACTCACAGAACGACAGAGTAGTACTTTTTTTTTTTTTAACATGATGCAGTTTACAATTGATCTTCTTCTTCTTTCAGCTGTTCCCTTTATGGGTCGTCACAGTGAAGCATCTATATCCCTAGCAACCTCCTATGAAGTTTTCCTCTTTTCTTCCTGCCTGGGAGATCCATCTTCAACATCCTGACTTTGTCTCCAAACTGCTCAACAAGAGCTGTCTCTGCGATGTACTCATTTCTAATCCTGACTATGATGCTCACTCCCAGGGAAGATCTCACTATCTTCAGGTCTGCCACCTCCAAATCATCCTTCTGTCTTTGTATCAGTACCACCGTCCTAAACCACTCATCATACCAGGTCTCACTACCACTCACTCACTTTTAAACTTCTCCTTTGACTCTTGCTGCTATCCTTTTGTCACAAATCACCCCTGACACTCATCTCCAACTGCTCCACCCTGCCTGGACTCTCTTCTTCACCTCTCTTGTGCGCGGTCCATTGCCTTGGATAGTTGATAGTTGATTCCAGGTATTTAAACTCACCTGTACTCACTAGCTCTACTCCTTGCAGCTTCACCTTTCCGTCCATCTCCCTCTCATTCACACACATGTATTCTGTCTGGATCCTACCGCCTTTCATCCTTCTTCTCTCCAGTCCAAACCTCCACCTGTCCAGGCTCTCTACCACCTGTTTCGTGTGTTTCACCATGCTTATTTCTCAATAAATGTGGAATTATACAGTTTCAGTGCTAAGAGCAGGCATGACATGTCTGCTGTGGGTCTCTGGGAGTTTTGTTAATTCATACCCCCTGTCTGTTTGATTACTTTATATCTCATCAACATCATTACAGGAAATCTTTTTTTTTTTTTTTTTTGCTTTGCATTTGTTTGCTCTTGAAATTGTAAATCCTCATAATCAAACAATTTAAAGTTTCAAATAATAAAGCCAATATATGTATCAATAATCCCTGTGAGACAACATGTCAGCCTTCAGTGTCTTTTAAATTCTCAGTTTTAGACAGGCCTTATCTGCTCATGACTCTTTATGATGTCATGGAGAGCGAGTAATCCTAATATGGTCATCTCAGGCAGGCCTCACCCACCTGCTTGTTCAAACCTACTTTTTAACATGAAGCTAAAACTCTTTTTCAGACTGAACTCAAAGGGGATGCCAGGTATAAGAAAAACTGGGTTTATTATCGAATAACTGCATGGTAGCATGGTGGTGCAGTGGTTAACACTGATGCCTCACAGCAAGGTCCTGGGATGGAGTCCTTTCTCTGTGGAGTTCTCCCCTGTGTCAGCATTGGACCCACCTACCTTGTGATAGCTAGGGCAGGCTCCCTGAGGAGGATGGCTGTAATTATGTTGATCTAGTTTTCAAAGAATAAAAACATGGCGTTAAAAATGAGCATCAGAATCAGAATCCAGAATCGTGTTTATTGGCCAAGTATATGTGCAGACACATACAGGGAATTTGGTTCCGGTAGATGGTGGCTCTCAAGCACAGCAATGTAAATCACACACACACACACACACACACGTCTATATACACACATTACACATACATACACATACATACACAAAGCTGTGTAAACCAACTATAAATAACTAATCTAAACTTATATACATAAAATACAGAAATGAAATGAGGTGGAATAAATACTACAGAAAGAAAAGTGCGAGAGAGCGCAGTACCGAGGCTGCCATCCGCGGCGCCATCAATGGATCATCAATCATAACAAGTAAAATAACATAAACTAGCTCACTTGGGCTGAATCTATGGTTTGATAATGTCCTAGGATTATCTTGAAATTTTAAAATAATAATAATAGTAGTGATAATAATAATAATACGTGTTTATTATTATTATTTATTTATTTGGCGATACTTGTGGATTTTGTTACCCATCGTCAAAAATGGTCTACCTGCTAACCTGCTGCAAACTGAAGCTTTGTGTAGTTTATTGTTCTTCGAGACATGTAAATGGTATTCATTTTATTAAGTAGCATTAACTGACGGTAAAACGGCAAAAAACGAAACAAAAATTCAACGATCCCTTCGCATTATCAGTATCAGTCAAATATTACTAATTGCTCTAGATACGTCAACAGATTTAGTTAATTTTTTATAGCGGGTCTCTCATACTGAAACCTATCACAATTCCCACTTTTTCCAGGGGCACCTGAAGGCGGCGTCAGCCTTCTCCTCAGCCTGTCCATCCATCCGTTCACCGGTCTACTATCGTGTGTGTGTGTGAGAGGAGCAAAGCCTCATTCTCCTCCTTTCTTCCTTTCAGGGAACGCGCATCACTTGTGAAAAACGGCGCTTGAGACCTAGAAGTTTTTTTTGTCTAACGTCTCGGCTCTATTTGCTCAGCTCTCCCGCGATTTTCCGCCCCTCATTCCCGGTTTCGTTTTTAATTCCCATCCTCACTTTCTGTCGTTATTTTTTGCCGGACTCGAGGATCCAGGCTGGGTGTACCGGCTAACACTTGGGCGTAGCTGGAGAGGATTTTGCTAGCTCGTCGCTGCACTAACCGGTAAGGTCGAGATTTCTTTAACGTTAGCTAGCATGCTATTGTCAGTCAGTAAGTCATGTTTAGCTAGTTAAAAGCCACAATTTATAATGACTGTCTGCCGTCCGTTACGGAGTGTCTGCTCTGCTTACTGTGTTATTACTCGTGTTTTCACATTAACGCTAAGCAGCGCAGTGAAATCCGGCTTGCTCTTTGTGTGACTGGATATTTGCGTCGGAAATGTACAAACGGGTTTGTTTTAGTGTCACTTCATCATTTTTGAGGGCGAGCCGCTCCGTTTCAGTCACTTTAATTCCCGTGCAAAGGGGCTTGATGGGGCGGTGGCAGGCTGCATGGTAGCTTGAAGTGCTCATAGGACCTGTTAGACCAAAGCTGAAAAAAAAAAAGGAAAAAAAAGCTAAATGCCTTTTAAATCCACGCTATTGTTTATTTTCATAGTGTTTCCTCTCGCTGTGTGACTGTATTATCCACCTTTTTAACCTCTAAACTTTCTCTTCTTCTGACCTCTCCTTCCTTCTCCATCCTCCATCGCGGTTGCCCATTGTTCTGTGATGAGCCAACTAGTGTGAGTTGCTGAGCAATGTTTCAGCCGTCTCAGTGGGGGGAAAGAAGCTGGCAGATATCGTGCTAATAAATTTGCAGCTTTCGTTTTAATTCAACAGACCAACTTTGGGCGTATTTGGAGCATGTTAAAGCAAATCTCTGCGCAGATCCTGCAGGGAGAGTGTAAATCTCAGAGAGAGTTTGTGCACAGTCTCATGCTGCCATGTAATCAGAGGTGATTAATGTCACTCCCCCACAATCACCAGCACCTCGTCTCCAAAAAGTGATCAGCTATTGTGGCATAAGGCTGGAGGGGCTCCCTCGCTGACTCCTTTTTTTTGTTTGGGGGGGGTGAGTGAGTGCAGCAAGACAGATTAAGCTCCCTCTCTGCTGAACAATAGGGAGGAGAAAACACTGACAGTTCCCAAAGCCTTGCCAAGAGCGTTTAATAAACTGCAAACATGCAAGCATTAAAAATCTTTATCCTCAGCCTACAAGTGTATTCTTTTCCCCCAGCGGTGGCTCAGACAAGGGACATAAATTGTCTTGAGCTCTGTGGCCTTGGTGGGCACGGCTTGGTCAAATAATGAGCAGCGATCGACCGTGAGGAAACGCCATCCCAGGGCAACTAATACGGACACTTTTCAGGCTTGGGGTTTGGAGACCCTCCAGGACTCTTAAGTCAGGGGGTGGGCTAAGCCATCGGTGAGTCTGCCGCCCCCCCTTGCTCTCTCTGGTGCGTGGATGAGAGAATGGCTGACTCATGGAGTCAGTGGGATGAGACAGGCAAATGGAGGACAGACATGCAGCCTAATGCAATCATGTGAAATTAAATTTATCTGCCATTGAAAACCACACTCAGCTTTATGAAGTTATTTAAGATGTTTCAGAAAGATTATTACTTGGAGAGTGGAGATTATTGCCAGAGGCACTGTGTTTGTGTGTGTGTGTGGAGGGAGATTTGTCAGAAGCTAAACAATGAAGCCGATCATTGTAATTAGGAAAAATCTGATGGAGTTATCTACTTTCTTTCTAGTTGTATCTTCTCTGTCTTTGTTTGTATTGCATCTTTTAGAAAATTAACATTTATCCCTCTGTCATTTGTCTGCTTTTGGAGCTGGAATCAAGGGTGTGGGTGTCTACAGTGTTAGCGGTGCACGAGGACTAACCGCCGCTGTCTCAAATAGTCTCCCATAGCCCGCACAGCTACTACTACTATGTGTCCACTAAATGAAATGAAGAGTTGCTTCAGATTTCTACTTAATCACTTTAAAATAAACCTGACCAAAGTTTTAAATGATAAAATCACCATATGTAAAACTAATCACAATGTCTCAGACTGTTTTTTCTACTCTGGGCTTTGTATGATGTCAGTGAGAGCAGGTATTCCTAATATGGTCATGCTCAGGCAAATAAACCACGCCCATCTTGTGTTTTGCCAGGTGCAGCCAATCAAAAGACATCTGCATTTAAGATAGTGGGAAGATGGCTAAAAGAGCTTTTTTCAGACAGTTGATGAACTAAATAAATACTAGAGCCCCGTTAACAGGAACCATGTGGTAATGAGATTCATTAGTTAACTTAATGATTGTAGCTCATATCTTTAAAAAAAGGATGTTATAAATGCTTTCTTAGGTCTTGCAGATTCACTGAGAGAAACTGCAGTAATTGTTTCTCTCCCCCTGCATTTGTCTGTGCAAAACATACCTAAAATATCTGAAATATGCATACCTGTTTTAGTTTTTTCAAAGAAAAGCTCTTTCATAAGCATTTGTTTCAAGGCAATTTAAATTCTAATGACCTATTTTGCCCTAAGCTGGCCTCTCGACCCATGCCTCGGTCTTGAGAGGGGGAGATGGTTGTTGCATTAATAGACCTGTGTGTCAGCTCGCCCTTAGTCAAAGGCCTGGTGTTGGTGGGTGTGTGACTCAGAATGACGCCCCCCCAGCTCTGAACTTCTCAGCAGTGACAAGGACAAAACTGGCCCTCTGGTCATCGAGCTTTTTTCAGCCTGAACCCATGGCCCTTGCACTTTATGGCCTCATTAGAAATTACCACTATCGCCCCACAGCTCTCTTTTAATCCATGGCAACAGCTGCACAATAGCTTCTTGTTTGGAGATTATCAAAACACCAACAGAAACAGTATGTTTGGCTGCATTTCCTTTTGTTTGCTGGCTGATAGAGGTTTGAGGAAACCGCCGCGGGCACCGCATTGAATTTTCACAGTGAGGACAAAGAAGAGATAAACTTTGCTGTCGTCTGGCCTTGATAGCAGCCTCGGTTGGTGGCGTCTCAGTTGTCAGGGCATGCAGTTGGCAACTGGCGACGTGGTTTCGAGACTGTATTTGCCAGCAGCTGCAGTAATTTGCTGTGTTTGGGCTCTCTGAATTCCTCTGGTGGGAGGCTGGATAATGGACATGGTTCACAGCCCTGTTGCTAGGCTTCAAGACCAGATTTGTCATAGCACATTGTGTTTGTGGTGCCTTGATTATTTTTTTTTTGCGTTTTGGTGCAATCTGGTCACCGATATAGTTAAAAAATTGGTCCAGACTGATAGTTGCTCTATCCTCATTCAGTCATTCAATCTCCTCTAACAATTTTTGCTCTGAGATAATGGAGTCAATAGCGTCATCCATACATTGCCATTGCCGTGTGTTTGTGGCTAAACTGGTCAAGATTATATTAGTGTCTAGCCAGCCTACCCTCACCACAGGCTCAACAGGAATGATAGGCATTTGGGCCTGACACTGGTGCTTACCATAAGCAGCTGTAACAGCCAATTTATTTCTCAGTCATATCAGTTTACCCTGTTGACATAAATCTTGCTTTGCCTTTTTCATTCTTTGCTTTAACATAAATCACCAACTTCCTATGAATTGCTAAAATAAGTGTCTCTGTCCTGGACAGATGTGCCGTTTTAAGGCCAGATGTGTGCTTCTCAAAAGGATGTATTTTGTAGGTGCTGATCAGCCCGACCATGCAACCTGTCTGCCATCCTGCAAGAGATCAGATTCCATCTGGAACGTGCCACGTTCCACTTAAAACGTGACGGCATAATCCTCTTAAGGACAGAGACGTTCCGGTTGTACATTGCGTGCGGAAGTCCGTGTCCCCCCTCTGTAAATCTCAAGAGAGCACCAGAGCCTCTTGGGCAGCAGCGTTTCTGCCCTTCTGTCCAGATGCCTCGGTTCTGGTCTCTTCCCCTGTCTCTGTATCTGCTCTATCTGGTGTCATTGATCCAAGCCACCAGCTGGTCCTGGGCCGGCCTGATCTCATTTACCCCCTGAGAGGAGCTTGTTTGCGGGCAGACAGCCCATTATGGAGATGATCCAGCAGCTCTTCAAGTTACAAATTAGCTTTAGATTCTCTGTTAGGTCCCCCCTCTCTCTCTGTGTCTTTCTCTGTCATTATTCCCCCCCCTCTTTTTTTTTTTTTTTTTTAAAGCTGTCCTCTCTAAAACCATGTCATCAACATCTCTCTTATCTCCCAGGGGGGAGCGCTAACAGCATCAGAGGAACCTGCCTCACTAATGCACTTCCTCTGTCTGTTTCTGTCTCCTTCACTGCCCTGGCCATCTGTGGAGTTGCCTGCTTGGCTCCCCACTTTCTCCTGTGCGATCGATATCCACACAGTGGAGCTCTGCGCTGCCCTGCTGGTTGCCCCTGCAGGCGGTGGAGCTTAGCCAGACTGTAGTAGGGCCTTCGCCATTGGGGCCGTTGTTTGTAGTTGGGCTCTGTCTCCACCCTTATTGTTGTGGGGCTGATTGCCCCTCTAGCCTTGGCTCCACACAGTATTGTCTACTTTCTGGGACATACTACAGCCCCTTTAACTGCTTCATATTCCTTCCTTGTTCTTTCTTGCCTGCCTTCCTTGCCCGCCTCTCTGTTTCTGTGGACAGTTTGTGGACAGTTGAAGCTAACTGTTCAAGATTAGCATCTCTCTTTGTCCAGGGTTAATGAGCTCTGTCATGTGTTAATCTTCCTGTCCCCAGGGTGCTGAGTTTCCCTGTACCACACCACACTATGAGAACCAAAGGCTTCAAGTGTTTGCATACTGTGTATATGTTTTATCTCTTTTCTTTGGTGTGTGTGGGTGGGGTTTTTACTATACAGCATGGACATATTAGGTGCATTATTATTCTTTACCCTTTTCTTTAAAATTGTTCAGTAGTTGTTATTATATTTTTTTTTTATCACATTTACAACATTAACAAAATATTTTTATAGGCTTGTAAACTCTTAATTCAGTTGCTGACTTGATGACATTGTAAAATCTTAGTGCCCCTGAAGAGTCCTAAGGATTAGTGCCAGCCTTTCTGATCACATGTTTCTGTGATCCAGGTGACTGTCACACAATCTGCTGCTCCCTCTCAGCCAAGAAAAGTAGAAAAAAGACTTGCAGGGTATTTCTCATGCCTCACTTTGTCTTACTGAGCAGCCCAGGGAACAACTGGAAATC